TACTACATGCTGTTTATGTCTTGTAGCTACCACAAGTTGATTTAGCAATACATGCTGTTCCATCAGCCATACATTTTGATCCATAAGAGACACATTCATCATTAGCAGCAGCAATAACTTCTGTGCATTATCCAGAATTCTAGCATGTTCCAGTGGGTAACCCTCCACAAGCTCCATCAGTTCCTAAAACTCAAGAAGCCTTTAATGTAGTACTGGCAAAAGAGGTAATAAGTATGCAAGCATCCCAATTGGTTGCATATAATTGTGAAAATGCTTAGCATTCAGAATGTGTCTTTTCACTGCATCTTCACATCTGTCATAACATTGTCCATTAACCCAAAGACATGGTCAAGGTTTAGATTGAAAGCAGAATTGCTTATTAGAGAATTCAGTATATGATATCCGATCACACAACCTGGTCCATTTGCTTTACATCCTGAAAGGAAGGTATTACATTCACCATCATTTAATCCATTTTTATAACTGCAACCTCTAGCTCTGCTTCACTTGTAGTAGTATCCCAACCGTATCTACCTACTCTATCTTTAATTGTTGAAGCAGCTATAAAATAGTTTGTGTCTTTTATAATGAAAATGTTGAAATAGCTATGCAAGCAGCTCCAGTCGTAGTACAAATATCAGCAAAGCTTTAACATTAAGCATAAGAAGTAATTGTTGCTGGTTAATCTTCATAAACTTAAGCTTTGCATGTTGAATTAGATTTTTAACAAGCACAGAATACCATTTACTTTAGAATTGGTACACATTGAGTAATAAGTATTTTTATAAGTAGCACATGTATTACTAGTAGATGAACACCAATTAGTCCATGTACATTTTGATTTTAATTTGCATGAAGCTTTTTAAGTAAAGATTTCACATTCTTGATATTTGAGCATGCTTAATTGGTTACTTAACAATATTCTTATATTTCTAGCAATCTACATCAGTTGTAAGATTATTTGGTGCTTCTGTAAATACTCTCTCAGCGCATGCTCCTTTTATCGTTCCAACTGTAGTGGCTTTGTATGGGCCATCTTTAGCCAAATATGTGAGCATGTCTCTTCAGTTCCATTGAATGTATTACAATTCTATCCATAATCAATACGTGAAGTTCCATCAAAGGCACAGAGAAATAAACTTCACATTCATAATCAGATTGAGCTGTAACATTATCGTAAAATGTTAATTTATATATGCAGATGAAGTATTAGTAGCAGTTGCGATAGGTCTGCATTTTCTTTTCCTGTTGCATCAAAAAGGAAATTACAAAATTCTTTGAAAATGAACCACATGCAGTAGTTGTTGCAACACATTTATTGCAATCTGTCTTGCTGGATTTAAGGTAACTTTAGCAATCAAAATCTGTATAGAATTACTTATAACTGCTTGTTCTTTCTTAACATTTTGAACTTTTTGCATCCCAAACACAATAATCTCCTGATTAATTCAAATTTCTTCACTCCATGTTTATTTAGCTGTATTATCACTACCTTATAGTGTATTCCTTGTTAATACATTCGTTAGAATAATAGAGACAGTTAGTGGCATTATCAACACACTCATAGCACTGATATCATTGTCAGTAAAAACTTATGCTATGCATTTCTTAGAAGCAGAAGTATCTTTAATATATGGATAACTGGCGTTTGATTTAACTGCTTTGTATTCTGTATCCTCTTTATCAGCTGGAGGTCCGTTTACTGCTGTAGTATTTCCATCATATGAAGCGCAAGTACCCACTTCAACACAATTATTTCCTCCAAGATAAGTTCACTTAGTTTCACTTGCATCAGTCAATGTTGCACAAATAGTGGCTTAATTTGTGGTTACACGATAAATATAACAATCTTTTTAAATATCGCATGTTGTTCCTGAAATGTAAGTACATGGAGTGGCAGCACTTGCTATATCACAATAACTCTTCTCATTTCAACTTTAGGAAGTGATTGTTATACATGCTGTTTCCTTATTATAGCATGTGCTTAAGATGTAAACACATTTCTTTCCTGGTGCTTTTCAATCGCAATCGACTTAAGAGGTTGTATTTTATAAATCTTAGCAATCAAAGTCTCTGCACTTAGCATTTCCAATTATGAATGCACATCTTTATCCAGTATTGTTTATTCTGCTTAAATAATATGTTGATTATCAGTATCATTTGTTGTTGGTATTATCGTATATGGAGCACAAGTACAACCACCGACACATTAAGCTGAAGCTAGCTAAACAATAAGCAGCTTTATATGCATTTGAAATTGCATCAGTTTAAGTATCCCAACTACCTGAAGTTGTAATGGTTATACCAGCACAATCCGCATTAGTTTATAATATGTACTTATTGTTAGTTTTATTAAAGCTACTATGATCAGTAGCTTCTTTGATACATCTACATTAAAGAGATTTTAAGAATCAGTTGTAAATGCATTTGGGATTGATGTGGGGCAATTACTTGAAGTATCAGCAGCATATAACATCACTATAATATCAGCATCATGTTTTATAAGCCTCACATTCTGCTTAGTTTAAAGCTGAATATGTGTCTGAGCAAAGAGGGATGGCATCACATTAACCTCCCGTTTCATAAACGCATTTTGTATACTTTGCTGTTCCCTCATTAATATTAGCTAAATTATCTACAGCCTTCAAACCCCAACATAATTCTTATTTTTTATTTGTATCAAAATTAGAATTAATTTTTTAGTTTGAGCACGCAGTTGATAATATTTGATAAGTTGAATCTGTCACTCTTTCACATTTTCCTCAGAGGAAAAAATTGTTTTAAACATTATAGGTTTTTGAATAAGCTTAGGTAATTAACTTTATACAACTATTCTATAAAGTACACTTCGTTTCACCAGTTTTGAATATGCATGCAGTTCCTTAAATCTTAGTAACAAACTTTGAACATTGACTTAACTTAAGTGAATCAGTATTTTCATTTATTGTATGAGTATAGGCACAAGTTGCTATAGTTAAATAAGAAATGGTACATACCTCATCTGTTGTACTTGATACATTCTTATTTAAAAAAGTAACACATAATTATGTAATGTATTCACTCAAGAATTAATCACAACATCTAGATGAACATTTAGTTGCTCCTTTTGTATAACCACATAACAACCCAGTGTTGTCTTTGATATTTGTACAAGTATCGAATTTTTATTAATCGGTTGTTGCTGTATCAAGGTAAATTTTAAGAACTACAAACTGCTGCACCAAAACATTAAGATACAGCCTTCAAGAATCTACAAGTTGTTTATTTATTCATGCATCAACTCTATTACTAATAAATGTTGGTACAATCTCTAGCTACACACTTAGTTCCACTCCTCCTCTTAAATTTTCCTTCATGACCTACTCTAAATTACTGACTAGAAGCATCGCCTTTGGTTCCTTTGCAATAACAATCAGTACCAAAAAATCCAGCGCTAATTGGGGCAAAACCTTTCTATGTGTTACAAGCTGTTAAGGCTGAAACTTAGGTCTTATAGTTTGTTTTATCTCCAGAATATGTAATACATGAAGATTTTCTTATTCCCTAGATACAATTATTTTTGGTGTGATTAATCCCTTTTAATAGTCTTTGCACTCATCATCAGAAGTAAATTAAGCATTTACACATTCTTTAGCTTTACGATATGTGTTACCAGCTGCTAACTCACTATTTCCATCTGATTCAATATAAGATAAACAACAACCTCATCACCTGTGTAAGTAGTTCAGAAAGGTAATGGACAATTAACAAAACCAGCACCTTTTGTAACACAACCAGTAATCTCTACAAGTTCCAGAATTTATATCCCATATACAATGGAGAATTCATGAGATACTTGGAGTGAATTCGAATTGTTTTTAATTGCATTCTTTAAATTCTTATGCTTCAATACAGGTATTTCAGTCACTTACACAGAATCAGGATATAGTTTAACAATCTGATGTTGTAGTTTTGTCATATGCTGAACATCCTGGAAAATGTGTAGATTTTGAATTGATATAAGCACAACGTAATGTCTCAGCACAATTTTTTTCTGGCTCAACAACAAGCTCACAAAAAGGTTTGAATGAAGTGACTGGATCTACTGTTGTCTTTTTCTAACCTTTTGCTGTTATTGCTTCTGTTGCAGCTACCCATTCACATGTTTTTGTGACTGGTTATCTCTGTTTCACAATCACTCTGTGATTTTAATTATCCACAGTTATTACACTGATTTGGATTTTGTACTTGCAATGTTAAGAGCATAGCTATTAAGCAAATGGGAATTAAATTTATAGATAAAAAAAACACAATTACTACAATTATTTGCTTAATAAATTCTATCTGAACTTGAATCAGAATTTAAATTGAAAGTTAATTGGCATCATAGATATATACTAAGGCCAAGAAAAAGAGGTCCAAAAGGATGTTGTGGGTTATCTGTAAAATATAATAGTTCAATAATTCAAGTCAAATAACAGTATATTAAACTTAAAAGTTATTGAATAGATATCGCAACAGAATTAAGAGCATTAATAATGCTATGCTGAATCAGAAGAGTTTAAGATTGAATGTATTTATAAATGAAAAGACATACTAATTCTTAGTAAAAGCTTTGACCCATTAAACATATAGAAATATTACAAATTTCAAATTTCCTTTATTGAATGAACGTTGAAGTATTTTTTTGTTAATATGAGCGCAGAGAATCATTAGAATCCTTCTTCATACGAATGATTTTCAATTTTGATGAATAGTCGTATCTAAAAAAAATAGAAATGTTAATAGAGAGCGGTATTAATGAGGAAAATGGTAATTTTAACGTAGCTTAAAATATAAGTTTAAAATTAAAACCACTTCAAAATACATATCTAGAAGTAACAGTAGTTCAAGTTGATTGATAGAAGTTAATTTATGTTATGTTTTTGTTAGAAAAAATTAAATAGTAATTATAAAACTCCTTATTATATTTTTAGAAAACCTAGAAAACATATTAGGGCAGAGGTCTACATAACCTCGAACTAAAAATTGAAAAATGGACAACATTTCAATATAAAAAACCATGATATGAATGAAATAAATAATAATTTAAATTTTACAAAATACACAAGGCAATCTAATATTGGTAAATAGTACAAACAATTTTTAGTGTTTCATCATCAGCTAGTCAATTAGTTTTTAATAACGAATGTGAAGTTCTTGTTGGATTTAATATTCATAATCATACATTTATTAATTAATTAAAAATATGAATCCACCTAATATATAAAGTGAAAATAATGACTTTTAAATCAGTAAGATAGGGTAGTTTAGAATGAGTAGGAGGGACCTTAGACTTTTCTAATTTCAGTGTTTAAGATGATATTAAATAACAAAAGATTCATTATTATTTTGAGAGAAATAAAAAGAGATTAATTAGATCTGTTACAATTATATTAATTAGAACTTTATTCATAATTTGATAATAGAAAATATTTTGTTCCAAAATGTATGTGCTGAAAATGACAGAGTTTTTTGGTGGAATAGATTAATTTTATGATCATCTCTTATTTAATATGGCAAGAAGTGTTCATAAAATGGATATTTATAATGATATTCACAATTAAATTAATACTTTAAATGTTGGATTTATGTAAAAAAATAGCAATTAAAGATTATTATTTAATAAATATTTAATGTTATTTAAAATATTAGTGGAATATTTAATCGAATATTTATACTAAATAAATTAAATAACATCTCGAAAAGTAAATCAAATCATCATTATATTCAGATCCCAGATGATAGGATAGTTGAGAAGGCGTAATCATTTATGAGAATAAGTTAATAACTTCACTTTATATCCTAAGTTATGGAACACCATTCTCTTTTGTTTCTTGATTAATATTCTCTGTAAATTCTTCTGTATTTAATTACAAGAATAAGATTCATACAAAATTTTTTAGGAATTTTGATTAGAAACAGATAGATAAATAAAAATAATTCAAATATAAAATATGATAAATCTATTTTGAGTGTATAATATTTTATTCATTTTATATTCCCTTTAAGAATAAGGTTAACAATATAGTAAAACATTCTACAATATTGAAAATAATAATAAAAAAACTAAATATATTTTAGGTTTCAATTCGATATGTATTTTAAATATCCTTTTTCTTGTTGATATTGATATATTAGCGCAAATCTAAATTTATAATGAATTGATAAACATTGAATAAGCAAATAATTGTATGCATAACAGATAAAAAGGCTATGTAAATTCAATCTTAAATGTTAATCAGATCAAATTTTACATAAAAAAAATAAATTTGCCTTATTTAATTTTTGAAATTGTCAAAGTTACTTAAATAATATTTTATAACTTTTTACAAAATTAGGTTTAATTTGAATATGATTGGAGAGTTTCATTCTTTTTTAGCAAATTATTAATATTTTGATTGATAATTTGAAAGAGCAGTATTTTTTTATTTTTATGTTATTAATGTTATGTTAAATCAGAAAATATTTGTTCAAATGCTTAAGTTTGAACTTCTAGTAAAATTGTGATGATTG